ACTAACAAGCTGCCTAACAAGTTAGTTGACCTTGTTGAGTCTCAGTGTCTTCATCTGTATAATGGGTATTAAAACAGAGATTGAATATATTAAATGAGGTGACATATGGATGGAACACAAATGCTCATTTACTGTACGCTATTACTCTACAAAAATATAATGTGTAAGAACAAATACAAGAGGAGTGTGTTGTCATTACTGAACACTACTCCACTTCCAGAAACATGATGTGAGTACCTATTATGTGCAAGGAGCTGGGCTGGGCTGGGCTGTATGGAGTTCATAGTCAGGCAAAGAGACACAGAAAATTACAGTACAAGTTGGCCTGTGGTAAGTGTTAAAATAGACATGTAAACAAGTTGTGGTGGAAGGAGAGAGCAGGGCAGAGTAGGGCATTCTGGGAGTTAAGGGTCTTTGTCAGCCCCCTCAAAAAGGGAAACAGATTTAGGTGGGGCTGTGTTGGGGTCAGGAGCATGCTTGCTAAAGCCAGCCAGCTTTGGTTTGAATCCCTGCTGTACTGTCGCTGGCTGTATGGCCTAGGGCAAGTTACCATGCCTCTCACTGCCTCAGTTCTCTTGTTTGTCATATGGGTGGCTGGGAGGGTTGAGCTAACTCATAAAGCATTTAGTACTGTACCTGGTGTAATAGTAAGCCTTCAGTAACTGCTTGTTATTATTTGTAGTACTAGTACTGGCTGCATTTGAAAACTTTCTGAAATACTTTCGCACTTTGGGGATTTCAGGGTGTCAACTGTTACCTTATCAAGAATTAAAACTGGAGCCAAACAGTTTAGACCAAAGTATCAGCTTTATTCATTGACAAAAGTTGGCTGGGAGGGGCTGATTTAGGTGGGCTGCCTCGTTCATCATTCTAGAGTTAAACACGTGCACCCAAAGGTAGCCCTGGACAACTGCAGCCAATCTCTCCGGGCAGGGCCCACATAGGTGAAATCTCCACAGGCTTGGAAGACCAGGCTGTACTCTCAGGGTCTCTCTGGCAGGCAGATCCTAGAAGGGCAAAGTATACTGGCTCCCTTACCCAAGTCCACCCAAAGCAAGTGGTCAACAGAAGCCCTCACCTCACTGCTTGGGAGTGCCCTGAAGGACAGAGGAAGGGAGTTTTACTCCCAACACAAACTTTCACACAAATTTGAATTTTGTTACTTTTTCTTGATTTAGTGAAAGCCATTTAGAGCACAAGGGCCAGTAACATTAACTTTGGCACTGTATGCTTGCTTTCTTAAATAGATTAAGATCACTATCAACTTTTTTTGCACCTTCTCATAGGTTCTTGACATGTTTAGGAGTTGAGGGAGGGGATGTGGGGTGTGTGAAAATAGTTGTGGCACAAGTTGGGGCAGCTGAGACTCATCAACTGGAAAAGGTTACTTATCCACCCCAGGTACAATTGTCTTAACTGATTTAACCCTGCCAACAATCTGCAAGGGGTGCACTCAACATCTCCCATTTAGAGAAGAGGAGACTAAGATTCCAAGTAGGGGGTGTGGCTCGCCTGAGGTCCTGTGGCCAGTAAGTAGGTGCTGGAGCTGGGAGTTCACTCTGGAGTGTGTCCTTTTAACCACTATGCCGATTTATCTCCCTTAGCCTCAGTTTGAGAGATGTTTTCTTTAGTCTTCTAATGAGGCCTAGATACCCCGAATCCTTGGGAGTTGGGAACTGGTAGGGTCCTGGCAGTCATCCCATAGACTCCCCTCATTTTATGTGTCGAAAGTGAGGCCCAGAATGCAGGCATTAGGAAGCTGTGTATCATCAGCGAGAGCTGGCTTCCAGGCCTCCTGGCTTACAACCTATTCTCCTATGACTTCCATCAGAATCACATTTAAGAAGAAAATGAAGCTCTGTGCATGTGTCTGAAATGGCTTATTTCAGGAGAGGGACATGGTGATCCAGAGAAAACATAATAGGTATCAACTTAGAGACTTTTGGGTAAGCCTCCATTGACCTTCTCCCCCCAACAATACCAAGAACACTGAGGATTTCATGGCAGTAGGCAAAGAATTATGTGAGTTTAAAAGCAGATTATCATCTCACCCCTTTGCACCCTTTTTCAAGTTAGTTTCTCCTTCTAGTGGCAAAGGCCTATTGACAAGGAGTTATAACTCCCATATATGAGGTTTGTGTTAGGCTGTTCTCACGTTGCTACAAAGAAATACCTGAGACTGGATAATTTGTAAAGACAAGAGGTTTACTGGGCTCACAGTTCTGCAGGTTTAACAGGAAGCATAGTGCTGGGATCTGCGTGGCTTCTGGGGAGGCCTCAGGAAGCTAACAATCATGGTGGAAAGCAAAGGAGATGCTGCTGTCTCACATGGCCAGAGTGGGAGCAAGGCAGCGGGAGGTGGCACACACTGTTAAATAACCAGATCTCAAAAGAATTCATTCACTAGCTCAAAGACAGTGCCCAGCCGTGAGAGATCCACCCCCATGACCCAAACACCTCCCACCAAGCCCCACTTCCAACATTGGGGATTAGAATCCAACACGAGATTTAGAGGGGACAACATCCAAATCATATCAAGGTTCAATTGCACAATTTGGTTCTGCAGTGGACAATATTTTCATAAAGATTTTATTGTGAATGTTATTTTTTAGTTTTCAGTTTTTACTATCAATTTATAGACAAAGCATCAAAACATTAATTGTAGTTACAGAATGGAGGTTGGGAGGTAGAGAGGTGGAGGAAGGGTTAGTGGTATTGATTTCTTCAAAAAACCTGAAGGGAGTTAAGAGATATTTAACATTTGAGGAGTCAAAATAGGTTTAGGGCTGTAGTTTAAACGGTCTGACGATAGAGGCGCCATGCTGAGGCGGTATAGTAGAGTTGTTATGGGCACAAATCCAGAACTAGACTTCCGGGATTTAACTACTTGCTCTGCCACCTTGAACTCAACCAGGTTACTTAAACTGCGCCTTGGTTTTCTTGTCAAAACATGGGACCAGTAATAGGTGTTTTTTTGTTTGTTTGTTTTTGTTTTTGTTTTGTTTGAGACAGAGTCTGGCTCTTGCCCAGGCTGGAGTGCAGTGGTGTGATCTCGGCTCACTGCAACCTCCGCCTCCCAGGTTCAAGTGATTCTCCTGCCTCAACCTCCCAAGTAGGTGGGATTACAGGTGCCTGCCACCACGCCTGGCTAATTTTTTGTATTTTTAGTAGAGATGGGGTTTCACCATGTTGGTCAGGCTGGTCTCGAACTCCTGACTTCAAGTGATCCACTTGCCTCAGCCTCCCAAAGTGCTGGGATTACAGGTGTGAGCCACTGCGCCTGTCCATAATAGTTTTTATCTTATGAGGTTGTTCTGAGAATAAAATGAGTTAATACAGTGCTTAGAAGAGTATCTGAAACATAAAAATCATGAGTGTTTTTAATGATGCAGCAGCTGCTGAAGGAAAACAAAAGAACTCAAAATTAGCATTTCAATCAACAGAGATTGGGAAGAGGGAGGTAGTAGTTTGAGAGTTAATTTTCTCATCTTTTAAAATGGGAGGTTAATAGACACTGTTTAAAGTTGACAAATCAAGAAATGGAAGCATAACTATCACAATGGAAGCAATTCTCAGAATTAAAAATAGATCTAGTTAAGTGTGGGTATTACTGGGGAATGAAGCTCTGAGAGACTTACTATTTTGAGGTTTTTATTACCATAAGCATATACTACTTTTATTTATTATCAAATTTCTTGATGTGTAGTTAACAAATGATAAACCTCAAATATTTAAAGTATGCAATTTGATAAGCTTTGACATAAATACAGACATGTAAAGCCATCACCACAATTAAGGTAAACATATCCATCCTCCCACAAAAAGACACATTTAAGCTTCTTAGTCTGAATACTCTGTGTTTAGTAACTTAGGTATAGACTTTGTCTTTTAGCTATACCATCACTTAATTCAGATACCTTTTAATGACTTCAAAGATTATTTGAATGATAATACAGTGATTTTTTTGAATCTGTGTCGTGTGATCTTATGCATCCTGAGTGAAACTGTAAAGCTAGTAAGAACCTCCAGTGATTCTTTTCTGATGATTTGTTTTCATAGAACATTCAGTGGTCAGAAGATAGGATTTCCAACTTTGGAATGGGGAACACAGATGGTTAAAATCTTCCCAGGCTATTACAACTATTTGCTTTTTAAAAATTCCTGCCATTCCTTCTGACCAGGGCTTTCTGAATGTGTATGCTGCATGTTCAATTAGGATTCACAGGCCTCAGGCACAACAAGAATGTTGCTAAAATCAGTGTCCTTGCTGAATAAAACTGGGCTTTCCCTCCCCTCCAGGAACAGCCACTTACCTCTTCCCGCCTGGAGCTCCCCTTTGGCCATGCAGCTGGTGCTGGGGCGGGGAGCAGGCACCCTCTTCTCAGTGGCGGCCACATCGGGGAGTTTAATTCTGGAGTCCCAAATATGGATTGGAAATGTAATTTCAATAGAAACCAGGTTAAGCTTTGCAGTTAACTCAGCTTTATGATACCATCAATGCAATATAGCTGAGCTGTGCTTGCTCTGGGTCCAAGGTGGGGATTTCTGTGGTTTTTTGGTTTTGTTTTCCTGGGCTGGTTTGGACATATAACTGCCTTTTTTTTTTTTTTTTTTTTTTTTTTATCATTGGTTTTTTGAGGAAAATGCATTCAGTATTCCAAACGGAAACTAATGAACTTTTTGAACACAGCCTGTTCACAATAGCTTGTAATAGCACTTGACAGAAGGGGTTTTCGTTTAAGGTAATGTAGTTAGTCTTAGCCTAAGGGCAACACGTTTCTCCAAATCATAGACTTCCCTGAAAATTATAGGACAAATGTGTTAGGATTGATCTGATATTGAATGAAACTTAGAGGGCAAATGTGTTAGGATTGATCTTGTTGGTTTTACTTAGAGGATTATGATGTTTTTTAGGGAATGGGCTGTTGAACTTAATGGCATCTTTCACAGGTTAATAGTAACATGTCCATGATGATGATATTCTGTATTTTAACTAACAGGTTTTCAGGAGGCCTGATATAAGGGTAAGGATATTTGGCTTTCAGCAGATGGGCCTCCTACTTGTGTGTGTCTGTGCTTTATCGAACACTTAGTCTATTTAGTGTTCTTTACCTTCTCACTGGTTTTTATGAATCACTCAGATCAATTTGCTCTGCTGTGTTATAGCTTTAAGTGTTCACTAGAAACGCTTTATTTGTTACAATGTTTTTATGTGCAATAAAAGCCAATGTGTGTGAGGGCAGGATGCTAAAATTGTTACCAGTGTGCAATATTGACTTTTGTTGTACTACATGAATTATGACCAAATGGATATTCATGACTGGGGTTATAAGGCTAGGGCTACTGAGGTCTCTTTTAATCTTGTTTATTGTGTAATTCATGCTACAGAATTTAGCAACTAAAAAAAATGGTTAGTTGACTGTCCTATCTAAGTAAGATTTCAAGTCATGTTTGTGTTTGCATGTTGAATCCACAAAGCAGAAGTGCTAATCTTGAAGTTAAATCTAGCAAAATCAATCCCAGTTACTATTTTTTAAAATACAGATATAGTGGGTTACAGCTTGTATTTTCCTCATGATTTTCCTTCCCTTTATTTCAGAATATTCATAAAGCAAGACAAAGATTGGTAATGTGCATGCATTTAACAGAAAATTAACCTATTTCTATTCAAGGAAAACAATGTGGATTTTGATAGTATAATAACTTCAGTTTTAAAGTTTTAATCTTATTGAAGCCAACGAAGTAGTACAAAAATAAGCAAGTTAAGTCTTGTTATTCTAGTTGGTTTTCCTTTCTTTAGTCTTGTTTTCACCATGTTTTCTTTTGCTTATGAGAATCATTTTCTTTCATTGATTCACATTGTTAAATATTAGTGCTTGGCTTTACACTTGCATGAACTTTGAAATGTTGTATATTTTGTTCATTGAGCTTTCTGTTTCTAAAAACTTGATTCAATTTTCTTTGTATTTAAAAAATGGAAATTTAAAAAAACTGGCTGCACTGAAAAATTACACTGCCTTGAAGTGTGCTAAACTATACCAACTGTGCACTGAATTCAATCTGATGATAGAGTATAAAAGTACATTAAGGAGTTATTGGACTTGATTGACAAAAATGGAAGGTGGGAAATAGTAAATTCTTTTGAAGTTTTACTATTTCTTCACTGGTTGCCTTTGTAAAAAACGATAGTCATTGCAACCAAAGTTTCATGAAGCAAAAATATATATAGGCTAATTTGAATATTTTTAGCCTCAGAGACTTGATAGAACTTTAAAAAGAGATTACAATCTTGTCATCTTCAGTATTCATATTCTTTTTACCACCTGCTGAATAAAAAGCCCAATTTTTAAAGTTTCAAAAAATAATAGATTCTATAAAGAAATTAAGAACAGTATACCTTTAAAGGGATTGGAAAAAATTAAATAAAGATGTGTGGCCTTTTCGTTGTTTCTTGGAAGTGTGTTGATACTGTAATTAGAAATATTTAATATGATATTGATTTATAAATCACAGAATTTAATTAGCAATAAGCAATAAGAAACAGACATGTGTATATATGTGTGTACACACACACACACACACACACACACACACACACACACACACACATATATATAATCTCCAGCATGTGATATATGCATGTGTGCAGTGGAATTAATCCCTGAGCAAAGTAATATGAATACTTACTGTGTTTAAAATACATGTCTATAAACTGCCTTTGTATTTTGGCTTGACTTTGCCCTTTACCAGGTTTCTGTGGTATGCTTTATTTTCTGTGAGCACGTTATGTGCCTGTTATTTTGTTTCTTTGCTATATGCTGTGTATTGCTTGGTTTTGAAAAGACAGTACATTCTTTGAAATTCGTGATGTTTGTTTGCTTTTCATTTTTCTACCCCAACACAAACACAGAGTAGATACTCCATTTTAGGCTGAGGTTGCTATAGATGGCCTACACGTTATTTCCTTAACTCCAAGGGGGAAAATGTTGTGATTTGCAAAGTCATGAAAGGTGTGTCGACTTTTACATGCTTACTGTCTCCTTAAAAGAGAAATTCTGTCCTTTCACCTGTCTGTTTGCACGTGTTTCTCTTTCTCCTCTTTGCTTTTTCTTGTCCATGCACCTGGTGCTGTGCAGGAGATTCAGGAAGAACACAATGGCTACCCTTCTGAAGCTGAAGCTGATCAGGTGGCAAGTTCTACATGTTCATCTGTTTGTAGCTACAGATCATGTATTTAGAAGCCATTTCATTCTAGACTTCTAGATAATCAAAGCTTTCCAGATGCTTTTACCACAATAGTAGTGCCCTCCTGTCCAAATTTGCTAGATTCCATATGACATTATTTGCAAAAATTGGTTTATCCAACATTTTGTCAACTAGAAATTTGTTTGTCTGTGTTTCTCGGTTTGCCCATATAGGGTTATTGATGGGGTTAATGACCCTCCATCACGGTTGGATTCTGCAGTGCCTTTACATAGACATAGAGGGGACAGATACATATGCTAAGGGTTCTCCTTGAGGGTGCACACTTTGTTTTCTTCAAATATGCATGATCTGTGCCCAACACAGTACCTGGTACCATGTAGATAGTTGTGGAATTGGTACATATATTAATCAGAATACAAAATTATTCATAGAGTATTCTTGAGTGCTTACTCTGCTCAGTACCTCTAGACCCTCTCTGGAGTCTTTTAAAGCTGCAGTACTTTCCCCAATGCTTATGTGAAACCAAGAGAAGAGCAGCTCCAGGGATGCGTGGCATGCCCCAGGTGCTCAGCTACACCATTGTCCACCATCATCCAGCCCCACCCTCCTTTGGTGACCCCGGAAGCAACTTGAAGAGCCCAGTTTGAAAGCCACTGCTTTTGGCATGCGACCATTATATAAACGATCCACCTGGTGGCTTGGATTCAGGCTAAGGAGAAAAGTAGCAAAGAGGCCAGGGTTGTTGGTTGGGCTGGAGCCCTCAGGAACAAATTCAGGGAGCTGGCAGACTTCGGCTAGACCTTCAGGGTCACTGGAACAAAGTTGGGATGAGGTCATCAGAGGGAGTTCCCCAGTTGGGCAGCACTTTGAGCCATGGCACTAAGAGGAATGGGTGTGTTTATGAAATCAAATTTAGTTCATAAGAATATTCCATCCTTTGATTGTGCTGAACATGGGTTGGATAAATCAAGGGTCAAATCATGTCCTGTGCAACCTCGTAGTTGCAGTAAAAGCTTAACGTAGCATAAGTGTGAGTCCCTTCTCCTAACAGCAGCTTCATAAAGGGAATCTACTATACTCACCAAAGCAAACAAAAAACCTCCAAGCTTTTAAAACTCTTCTCCTCTTGAGTTTCTATGCTAAAGCTAAATGTGTTTCTTTTACAAAAGGAATCTCCTATGGGGAAATCTGAAGCAATTGGGTCACATCTTTGTTTTATTCCAATAGTTGTTCTTTTTTGCCATTTAAAAAGCATGTCCCAGATTTATCATTAGTGAGAGATTTGCCTTACTATGTCTCACTGACATATAAATACACAGAAGTTTCAAGCCAAACTTGACATGACTATGGGAAGAGAAGAGAAATGCTTGATTTTCAACTTCTATCTTGAGAGCATTGTGTATTCTTAAAATGGTCCTAATCACTTCTGTCTCCTATATGCAACATTTTATTAGTCCTGGATTGAGGACTTTAAAATGTTTGATGTGGCTTGCTCTAGAGAGAGTCATACCTTTCCTAAGCTACTCTAGATTCAGTTGATTAAAGCAGCTTGCTTTAGTAATTATATTTCAAAATAATCTACTTCCATTTAATTTTAACATATAAGAAACTTAAATCCGTATAATACATGATAATATTTAGCCATTAAAATATTTCGCTTTAACAATATAACATTTGAAGTAATTTAAAACTCTGATATTGATTAAAGTAGCAGCTTTCTCACTTCGTGAGATGCTGTACAATTAGTCACTAGTTCAGGCAATAAAGCAGACTTTCAAATTAAGGCTTCTAAGATTGGAGATCTTTTAGTGTTTCTAAAACCAGACATTTATAAGTGTACATGTTAGCTTATGCTTTATTGCATAAAATATATTTCTAAAACAGATGTGAGTATAAAAATGAATCCATTAATCATTCTCCACACCCACCCTTAATGTGTTAACTTCCAAAAAATTTTGGCTGAAAATATCTTTAAAAACCAGTCTGGACTAAAAATTTGAATTGAATTAACTGTTTGCAGGTAATGATGATTCCTAATCTATATTATTTTAACCATGCACCTTTCAATAAGGAGGAGGATGGACCATGTCATTTTGTGCTCTCCCAGTAGAATTAACATACCCCTGACCAACATTTAACATTGAATTTGCTATTTATAGTTTGGCTTTCTTCCTTTTATAAAATTTGATGAAACTGCTATGTGTAGTATTTCTAAATTGACCTTTAAGTCCTTTAATAAAACATAGTGAAATATTCTTGCAACTATGAAAATAATTACTATTTTGAATTTTCAATAATTTAGAATTATAAAAGACATCCATTTAAAAATATTTTGCTTTACAAAATTATGCTGAAAACTTAGTATTATTCGACCTGTTTTCCACTGAACACTAGTGGCCTCCGATGTTAACAGGTGGAAAAAGCAGTCCCGATCAAATAGGTATGAGAAATGCATTATACTCTAGCGCCCTCTTGCTGATTTGGTGTGCATTAACACACTAAAGATGTCTCACTAAAAAAAGCAGCTGAGGCCGGGCGCGGTGGCTCACGCCTGTAATCCCAGCATTTTGGGAGGCTGAGGCGGGTGGATCACGAGGTCAAGAGATCGAGACCATCCTGGCCAACATGGTGAAACCCCATCTCTACTAAAAATACAAAAATTAGCCGGGCCTGGTGGCGTGCGCCTGTAGTCCCAGCTATTCGGAAGGCTGAGGCAGGAGAATTGCTTGAACCCAGGAGGCAGAGGTTGCAGTGAACTGAGATTGTGCCACTGCACTCTAGCCTGGTGACAGAGCGAAACTCCATCTCAAAAAAAAAAAAAAAGCAGCTGAACTTGTTTTGCTTAACCCAGCATTTCCCAAACTTTTATTTATTTATTTATTTTTTAAGACTATTCACATCTCTTGGGAAAGTAATGCTCTGTGAAATACAGCTTTGGAATTGCTGGGGGTTTTGATCACCTTATTCTTATTCATGACACATTATGTCAGAGATGCCGAGGAGAAAGTGACTGGTTTCCTTGGCAGCATTTCACAGGGTGGCGGTACCTCGGAGTAGGCCCCGAGTTCAGACTTTGGTTCCTAACTTTGTAGTTCAAGAACACCATTTTCTCACCTCCTCTCAATTATCTGGCACTATCCAACCAAGCTCACAAGGGACTGGCTACTGGGCTGCAGTGCCAATCTGCTAATTTTAAAACGTGGGCATGTATTCTTCTGGCCATCTAAGGTATCCTTTTCCTAGCATTATTGTAGCCAGGAAACCTAGTAAATCATTAGCAATTTTCTTGGTGAGTGTGAAATTACTGCAAAGTGAATTGTCTTGGGACGTGCCTGATAAAAACACCCTGCTCCGCAGTAGGGATTGAATACTGTTGCCTGCCTGCCAGATGAGAGCACACTCTCTCATGGCCTGGATTGGGTGAACACTGAACTTCACTCTTCATGTCCCTGGTCATACACTTTGTGCATACATGTCCATGTGCACGAGCACGTGCACACACACACACACACACACACACAGCTGGGCTGCAGTACCAAAGCCTAGGCCTTTCCTTAGTTGTGTACTGTACTGAGACTATTCTCTGGTTATTTTAATTAGACTTCTGGCCTTCCCAAACTGTCTCATAGGCTGGGTTATTTCTACAGTTAGCTAAGCACCTATATCTCATGTTGGTTTTATTTGTGTTAGTTTCATGCTCAGAAGGTAACCTTTTTCTGACCTTATTTGCAAATTCTAGAGATGCCTTTTAATAGTTATCTGTGTAGTGATTACAGTATCTTTCTGTCATGTCAAGCCATTTCTGTGTTAATGCTTCCTAACTGTGAAATTTAAATACGTTGTAACAATTTGCTAGAATATGCAGCATGATGTCTTGTGATGCTGAGCTTTGAAATTGTCTTTTGAGGGGTTGGGTGCTTATTTTGCACGCTTCTGTAGCCTTATAGTGACATCACAGAACATCAAAATTTTTCACAGGTATACAGAAAGTGAGATTTACTCCTGTTTGGTGTTTGTTTGTTTGTTTGTTTTGTTTTTTGTTTGTTTTTGCCAGGCTCTAAGGGATGGAAATAAGCTGGCACAGATGGAAGAGGCTCCACTTTTTCCAGGAGAATCAATTAAAGCCATTGGTAAGTTTTGTGTGTACACTTTGCTTGTTGAGATCCATAAAATGAAATGGCACTTAATTTGCGAGTGGAGGTGATGTGTGTGCTGGAGATCAGCCAGACCAACTTAATTAGGGGACAGATGGACTAGATCTATTCATCCTCATTAGTGTCATCATGACCTAAGAGATAGAAGACTGTAGAGGATCCCATTAAGTTCCAATTGAGTATTTGATGGCGTTCCCAACAGGAGAGGAGCCTGACTTTTCCTGGTGAACTGAAAGCTGATTAGACACTCAATGTAATGTCAGTTCACTGCTTTGTTGGAATCCTTCAGTATAAGGGAAATTTATCAATAGGAGATCTATATCATGTTTTAATAACAGTTTTGAGAACTTAGCAAAGAAATTTTAGTGGTTTATCAGATCCCAAAAAGTACAATTTTGGTGCATGGCAAGGGCTTGTATTGCCATCCTGGCTTTTAAAGGTGATGGCATGAGGGCTTCCATATCCCTCCATGGTGTATTGCCAGGCCTTTCAGGGAGTAGTTGATTGTGCCATGGGTGGATGGGTGGGGAAGCTGGATGCGACCCATTCATCTCATCACTTGGTTGGGTTGGACAGTCTGGTTTTCTAGACTGTTTCCTTCTTCCATCATGGCTTTCTCCCAAAGAGGCACACTCAGTCTCAGAGTATAGTCATCTTGTGCCAAGAATATTTGAGTAGCGGGGCTCTCCCACCAGATCCTCCAATCAATTACTGCTGCTGTATATCCTAGTCTGTGTCTGTGGACCATGCTTATCTTCTCCTTGGTTTTGAAATTCTTTATTTCCTTGAGTTCTAGGACTTCATTCTATCCTGGCAGTCCTCTTACCTCTTTGTTCCTTCTCTGGGCGTTCTTCTAGCTCTGCCCTCATACTGCTTTCTTAATGATCTGTTTAAAATGCAGAGGTAATTATGTCATGCCCCTGCTTCTTCAGACAGTAAACAACACAGATTTAAAATGTAAAATGTGAAGAGGTTGTTTTTCACTTTAGTTTTATAATTTGTCAGTGAATCCAAGTCAGCTCAGAAAAGATTAGAGCTCATGTAGGTGATTGACAACTTTGCACATCAGATACATATTTTGAATGAGCAGGGAATGTTATAAAAGCTTGGATTGCAAGCTCACAGTTGTTGTAGTAAGAAGAGAAGGCTTCAGTGGATTTAGCTGCGGTCCTGTTGCTCTTTCTCTCCCGTTTTCTTTTCCTTTCACTCTGGAAACAGAGCTCAGAGAAACTCCTGCCTGGCCCCACTCCAGTACAAATTATTGGAAATATCTTAAGAGTTAGATCTTAGGACATCCTTAAGTGATGTAAGTATGCTTTATGCTCCTCCAGTGGCTTGCAAAGGGTAAGTAAATTGACCCTCTACTTTTTAATAAAATATATTCCTGGAGGCAAAGTATTAAAATAGGTCATTGTGAAGTAAAGTACTCCATCTAGAGTATTATTTCAGTTTGTCATTGTCAGAATGTGAAGAGTTTTGACACAGTGTACACCTGAAAAACCATCATCACAGTCAAGATAACAAACATATCCATCACCTCCCAGAAGTTTTCGTTTCCTTATGCCCCTTTATAATCCCTACTTCCTCTGCCTTCTCCCCCATCCCCAAGCACTACAGGCTAGCTTATATTTTCTAGTGTTTTATGGAAATATAATCATAGAGTATGTTTTTTTGTCTAGCTTCTTCAAATCAAATAATTATTTTGATATCCATATTGTGGCATGAGTTAACAGTCATTCTTTTTTATTGCTGGATAGGATTCCATTATATGGCTACATGACAGTTGGCTTATCCATTCATCTGTTAGTAGATATTTAAGTTGTTTCTACTGTTTGGCTGTTACAAATAAAGCTGCTGTGAACACTAATGTACAAGTCTATATGAACATTTCTTTTCTCCTGAGTAAATACCTAATAGATGAAGTGGCTAGATCAGATGATAGCTATACAGTTTCTTTAAAAAACTGCTAATGTGTTTTCCAAGTGGTTGTACCAGTATACATTTCTAGTAGCAGTATATGAGCATTCCAGTTTTTCCCTTCCAATTTGAATGCCTTTACCTTATTACTCTTGATTGAACCTCCAGTATAATGTTAAAGAGAAGAGGTGAGAGCGGACATTCTTGTCTTCTTTCTGATCTTGGGAAAGCTTTCAGTCTTTCACCATGAAGTATAATATTAGCTGTAGGTTTTTACTGTGGACACCATTTATCGTGTTGAGGGAGTTCCTTTCTATTCCTAGTTTGTTGTGAGTTTTCATCAGAAATTGATGTTTGATTTTGTCAAATGTTCTTTCTGCATCGATTGATGTAACCATGATTTTTCTTTAACCTATAATATCCTGGATTACATCAATTAATTTTTGATTGTTGAATCAACCTTGCATTCCCAGGATAAACTCAGCTTGCTTATTATGTATTATCTATTTTATAAATTGTTGGATTTGGTTTATTAAAAGTTTGTTTAGAAGTTTTACATCAATATTCATTTATGAAAGATATTGGTCTGTAATTGTAATTGCTTTGTCACGTTTTGGTATCAGAGTAAAGCTGGCTTCATAGAATGAATTGAGAATTATTTTCTCTTCCTTAGTTTTCTGGGATAGCTTATTTCTTACTTAAGTATCTGGTAGAGTTTACCAGTGAAGTTGCTTGGACTTTGAGTTTCCTTTGTGCGAAGGTTTTTAACTACAAATTTAATTTATTTAGTAGCTATATGACTGTTTAGACTGTGGTTTTCTTTTGAGTAAGCTTTGGTAGTTTATGTCTTTCCAGGATTTTGTCCATTTAATCCAAGTTGTCAAATTATTGTCATAAAGTCATTTATCATATTTCCTTACTCTTTAATATCTGTAGAATCTGCAGTGATATCTTTCTCATTTCTGATATTATTAATGTACATGTCTTTTTTGTTTTTCGCATCTGTCTGGCTAGAGGTTTATTAATTTTATTGATCTTCTGAGAGTCAGCTTTTGGTTTTATTATTTTCTTTGTTTCCTATTTCATTGACTTCACTCTGATCTTTATTATATCCTTTCTTCTGCTTACTTTGGGCTTAATTCACTCTTTTTGTAGCTTTTGAGGTAGAAACTGTGGTCATTTATTTGAGATTTTTGTTATTTTCTAGTATAGGCATTTAAATTTTCCTCCCACGGCTACTTTAGTAGCATTTCACCAATTATGACCTTGTGTTTTTATTTTCATTCAGATCAAAATGCTTTTGAATTCCCCTTTTGATTCTTCTTTGACCCTTGGGTTATTTAGGAGTGTGTTGTTTCATTTCCATATATTTGTGAATTTCCCAAATTTTTTTTCTATTATTGAGTTCTACCTTCATTCCTTTGTGTTCAGAAAACATACCTTTTATAACTTGAATATTTTTATGTTTATCAAAGCTCATATTATGTCCCAGAATATGCTCTGTCTTGGTAAATGTTCTATGTGCAGTTGAAAAGAATGTGTTTTCTGCTGTTGTTGAGTAGACTGTTCTATAAATGTCAGTTAGGTTTTGTCAGTCTGTGTTCTTAGCCATTTTCTGTCTATTTCTATCAATTGTAGAGAGAGAGGTTTTGAAATCTCTGACCATAATGGTGGGTGTGTCAGTTTCTCCTTGCAGTTCTATTAGTTTTGCTTTATGTATTTTGAAGCGGTTATTAGATACATACAAGTTTAGGATTCTTACGTCCTCCTGATGAATTGACCTCTTTATTATCATGAAATAACCTTCTTTATTCTTGATAATATTCTTTGCTCAGAAATCTACTTTGTCTGATATTATTACAGACATTACATCTTTTTAAAAATTTTACTAACATGATATACCTATTTTCATCCTTTGAATTTCAAACTATTTGTGTCTTTATATTTAAGGTGAGTTTCTTTTAGACCACATATAGTTGATTCTTTCTTTAGTCTCCAAACTGACAATCTCTGTCTTGTAATTGGGGTGTTTAGATCATTTATGGTTTATGTAATTATTAATATTATTAGGTTTAAATCCACTATCTTGATGATTGGTTTTTCTTAGTCTCATTTATTCTTTGTTCTTTTTTCCCTCTTTTTATGGTCGAATTGAGTACTTTTGTTTTAAACTTTTATTTTAGGTTCAGGGGTACATGTGCATATAGGTAAACTCATGTCATGGTAATTTGTTGTACAGATTATTTTGTTACCCAGATACTAGGCCTAGAACCTAGTAGATACTTTTTCTGATCCTTTCCGTCCTCCCAACCTTCACCTTCAAGCAGGCCCCAATGTCTGTTGTTCCCTTCTTTGTGTCTGTGTCTGTGTCTGTGTTCTCATCATTTAGCTCCCACTTATAAGAGAACCTACAGTATTTGATTTTCTGTTCCTGTGTTGATTTGCTAAGGATGATGGCCTCCAGCTCCATCCATGTTCCTGCAAAGGATATATGATCTCATTCTTTTTTATGGCTGCAAGTATTCCGTAGTGTATATGTACCACATTTTATTTATCCAATCTGGCATTGATGGACATTTAGGTTGATTCCATGACTTTGCTATTGTGAATAGTGTTGCAGCAGACATACATGTGAGTGTGTCTTTATGGCAGAAGAATTTATATTCCTTTGGGCATATACCTAGTAATGGGATTGCTGGGTCAAATGGTAGTTCTATTTTTAGCTCCTTGAGGAATCACCACACTGCTTTCCACAACGGTTGAACTAATTTACACTCCTACCAACAGTGTATAAGCATTCCCTTTTCTCTGCAACCTTATCATCTGTTTTTTTTAAATAACTTTTTAATATAATAATAGCCATTCTGACTGGTGTGAGATGGTATCTCACTGTGGTTTTGATTTTCATTTCTCTAATGTTCAGTGATACTGAGCTTTTTTTCATATGCTTATTGGCTGCATGTATGTCTTCTTTTGAAAAATATCTATTCTTGTCCTTTGCCCACTTTTTTTTTTTTTTGAGACGGAGTCTCGCTCGTCACCCAGGCTGGAGTGCAGTGGCGTGATCTCGGCTCACTGCAAGCTCCGCCTCCCGGGTTCACGCCATTCTCCTGCCTCAGCCTCCTGAGTAGCTGGGACTATAGGCGCCCACCACCACACCCAGCTAATTTTTTGTATTTTTATAGAGACGGGGTTTCACCGTGTTAGCCAGGATGGTCTTGATCTCCTGACCTCGTGATCCGCCCACCTCGGCCTCCCAAAGTGCTGGGATTACAGGCGTGAGCCACCTCGCCCGGCCGCTTTGCCCACTTTTTAATGGGGTTGTTTGTTTTTTTTTCTTGTAAATTTGTTAAATTCCTTGTAGATGCTGGATATTAGACCTTTGTCAGATGCATAGTTTGCAAATATTTTCTCCTGTTCTGTAGGCTGTCTGTTTACTTTGTTGATAGTTTCTTTTGCTGTGCAAAAGCTCTTTAGTTTCATTAGATTCCATTTGTCAGTTTTTGCTTTTATTGTGATTGCTTTTGGCATCTTTGTCATGAAATCTTTGCCAGTTCCTGTGTCCAGAATGGTACTGCCTAGGTTGTCTTCCAGGGTTTTTATAGATTTGGGTTTTACATTTAAGTCTCTAATCCATCTTGAATTGATTTTTGTATATGGTGTAAGGAAGGGATCCAGTTTCAGTTACCTGCATATAGCTAGCTAATTATCCCAGCACCATTTGTAGAAAAAGGAATTCTTTCCCTATTGCTTGCTTTTGTTGAAGATCAGAGGGTTGTAGGTATGCACCCTTATTTCTGGGCTCTCTATTCTGTTCCACTTGTCTATGTGTGTCTGTTTTTGTACCAGTACCATGCTGTTTTGGTTACCGTAGGCCTGTAGTATAGTTTGAAGTCTGGTAACATGATGCCTCCAACTTTGTTCTTTTTGCTTAGGATTGCCTTGGCTATTCTTTTTGGTTCTATATGAATTTTTAAATAGTTTTTTCTAGTTCTGAGAAGAATGTCATTGATAGTTTGATAGGAATAGCATTGAATCTATAAATTGCTTTGGGCAGTATGGCCATTTTCACGATATTGATTGTTCCTATCCATGAGCATGGAATGTGTTTCCATTTGTTTATGTCATCTCTAATTTCTTCAAGCAGTATTTTGTAATTCTCATTGTACAGATCTTTCACTTCCCTGGGTAGCCGTATTCCTAGGTATTTTATTATTTTTGTGGCTATTGTGAATGGGATTGCATTCCTGATTTGGCTCTTGGCCTGGCTGTTGGTGTATAGGAAAGCTAGTGATTTTTGTATGCTGATTTTGTATCCTGAAACTTTATCAAAGTTGTTTATCAGCTGAAGGAGCTTTTGGGTTGAGACTATGGGGTTTTTACTTTTTAGAATTCTATTTTATGTCTTATGCTTGCATATTAGCTATAATTGTTTGTTTTGTTATGTAACTAGTTATTTTACACCTTTATGTCTACCTTCAAATGATTGTATGCTGCTTCACGTACAGGATAAGAACCTTATAGTAGTATACTTCCATTTGTCCCCTCCCACCCTTTGTGCTGTTGTTGTCATCTGTTTTACTTTTACATATGTTATAAACCCCACAATATATAGTTTTTGTTTTTGTTTAAACAGTCAGTTATCTTTTAGGGATAATGATAATAATGCCTCAGTATCCTACAGAAGCACTTGCCAATCTGTTCCCTGCCAACTTCTCTGGCGTCGTGTTCCACTGTCCTTACTGCAGCCATTGATCCAGGCATACTAACCTCTAACAACTTATCACTGTGCCCTTCCTCCTTTCCTTCTCTTACTCCCCCTACCCACTTTCCTACTGAGTTAAATTGATCCTTTTCTGAACTTTCATTGTAGTACTTTATGTCCACATTGTTATTTTAGCTTTTGTCAGCCTCTAGTACAGGGATCCCCAACCCATGGGCTGTGGATCAGCACTAGTCCACGGCCTGTTAGGAACAGGGCTGCACAGCAGGAGGTGAGCAGCGGGCTATGGAGCATTACCGCCAGAACTCCATCTCCTGTCAGATCAGTGGTTAGATTCTCATAGGAACACGAACCCTATTGTAAATTGCGCATGTGAGGAATCTAGGTTGTACGCTCCTTATGAGGGTCTAATGCCTGATAATCTGAGGTGAAGCAGTTTCATCCTGAAACCATCCCCCTACCTCCGCCCTGGTCCATGGAACAATTGTTTTCCATGAACCGGTCCCTGCTGCCGAAAAGGCTGGGGACCTCTGCTCTAGTATAATGGCGATTTTTCTGTGTGGTATCTCTCACAGGTCATGGGCTGCTCATGGACAGGAACTGTTTCCAATTATACCCAGAATCCCAGCAATAGAAGGCTCTCAGTACATAAGGAGTTACAGAAAAGTTAAATGGAAGTAGTTTGAGAATTTGGTTCAGTGACATTAAAGTCTTTTGTTGTCTCACTTGGACTCATATATAGCTATGTATATTCTTGTCATTCTAGTGGAATGGCACTTTGGGAAAACATGAAGATGTGGTGTCTTTGTGATAGATGTTAGCTTCTTAACACTAATAGGGATTAAATATGTCATGCACTTAATAGATATTAACAAAAAGTTAAAACTGATAAGGAAGCCGATAAGGAATTTGAAACAAGTTTTTTTCCACTTCATTGATGTGGTTCTAGGTTTTGTCTTCTGTGAAAAGAGTTTCCTTTGGAGGTGCATTAGGAGACAGTGTTTAACTTTCATTAGTTTTAAGTAGCAGTAATTCATGAAATGGTAGCCCAGGGTTTTCAGAGTTCAATTAATGTTTTGAATATGATTAATTTATCACCCAGGGAAAATGTTAACTACCTAGGAAAAATGACAGAATATAACTTATTATGAGGCCCTTTACTTAAAACCTCATTAAGTAGCAAATCAGAATTTTGTTTTAAAAAATAAAAATTTATTAGAAGACTATGCATCTCTCTGTATTGAAAGTCATAATTGATATAATCCTATAAAATACAAAATTCCTAGAAAATTGGAATCACAAATATGTATTTGGAAAACTCGTGTTAAGTTTTATGGAAGCACAAGTCTATGGCAGTAGTTGCTACTTTGGCCCTTTTCTTTCAGTGAAAGATGTCATGTATATCTGTCCAGTTATGGGAGCAGTGAGTGGAACCCTGACAGTGACGGACTTTAAGCTGTACTTCAAAAATGTCGAGAGGGTGAGTTTTTTAAAGTGTGTTTTATTTTAAAAGAAACACTTTGGAGCACTAAAAGAAGAATGTAAAAAGACCCCTGAAATCCCATTACCCTGAGATAACCACAGGTTGAGTTTTGAGATGTACACCTTTGCAAACAGATGTTTGTATCTTGAAAACAAAGGCTGTTAAAGTACTGCTTAAACCTGGGGGGGAAATTCCATTGTTGTCTCAATATATATTTCATAAAGAATGCTATCAATCAGACTTCAGTTTAGCTGGGACAAAGAGGAAATGCGAAGTAAACAAACATATTTTGTAACCCAGCAAAGACTTAAAATATGAAAACTGTTGACTGACACTAATAGACATTGATCTTAATTTTTAAACCTAGGACCCACATTTTATCCTTGATGTTCCCCTTGGAGTGATCAGCAGAGTTGAGAAGATTGGAGCACAGAGCCATGGAGACAATTCCTGTGGTATAGAGATAGTGTGCAAGGTATAATAGAAACACAAGCGGAAACTAAAAGATCTGAACTGTTTCTCCCTCAGTCTCTTCCTGGTCTTTGGACAGTAGAATAATTGTACTGCTGGTAACTCAAATGTTTTCAGGATAGCAACCTCTTCAAATCTCATATCTAATTTAAACTATTATGTAGCCCTTTGAAATAAACCTTTTCTATTGAAGTACAGTTGTTCCTTGGTATCAGTGGGGGATTGATTCCAGGACCTCCACCTCAGATACTAAAATCCATGGATGTCCAAGTCTTTTATATAAAATGATGTAGTATTTGCATATAACCTAAGAACATTCTCCCGTATACTATAAATTATCTCTATATTGCTTATAATAACTAATACAGTGTAAACACTATGTAAATAGTTGTTATACTGTATTGTTTAGGGAATAGTGACAAGAAAAAATGTCTCTGCATGTTCAGCACAAATGCAACCATCCTTTTAAAAAATATTTTCTATCTGCAGTTGTTCGAATCCTCAAATGTGGAACCCATGGATAGTAAGGGCCGACTGTATTTCTAATTAATGTGGACCTGTAACCTAAGTGATTATTTGTCACATCTCAGAGAAATCAAGTGAAAAGCAGAGATCAATACATTTTCCCAGTTTGTTGTTTTAAGACTACGTTCAGAACAATGTGGATGGTCAGAGACTTCCTAAAGGGACAGCAGTGGTCCATAAATTTTGTGATTAAAAATGAGATTAAGTTTCTTGGCTATGTTGGAATTGCTGGGCTTGTTTGTTTATTTTGTACCCTTCTAATAATTTAAGTAGAAATGTGTGTGATAACTTTAATCATGAAGTCATGTAGGACCCACTCTTAACTGATGTATTTTATTCCCAGTGACTTTACTTTGGTAATGTGGTTTACCAAAAACCCTACCTGAAGTACCAGGAAAGAGATCCTGCCTGCAGGATCATCAGGGCCCCTTCCAAATTTTGGGTTAGGATTCCTTATAATCTATTTGTTTTGATTCAGTCTCTGAGGATAGCTCCCTCTGGTTGGTCCTAGACTGCGCTCAAAACCATTTTTTTTTTTCCCAAAGAACACTTCACTCTTCCAGATCATGAATCTGTTGGCTTACTAAACTCACTTTAGGCACTACCTGACAACTGTCCTTCTCAGGCAGGGTTCCCCATATGGAACAGTGGCAAACAGAGGGATGACTTGATTGGTTCTGCAATTTTGAAACATGTCGTCCCCTTTCTCATGACGCTTGAGTATCTTCCCATTATCCTTAGACTAAAGGAAAAACTCTCCTTACAAGACTTCTCTGCCTGACCCCTTTTCCTCTGCAGCTTCGTCTCAAACTGCCCTCCTCTCATTCTGGCCATCCCAGTCACATGGGCTTTCCTTTGGTGGTTCATACTTGACACATACCGCCGCCACTGCCCCGCCCCAGAATCTTTGCACGTGCTCTTTCCTTAGCTTGTAAGCAATCTGAAATAGCAATCTGAAATAGCAAGTCAGCTCAGTCAGCCACCAAGGTGTATGTGTGTAGCCATGTAGCTTAGAGGGAGAGCATTTCAGGAAATTATGTTGCTTAGGCAGGCGTCCTGGGGCTCTTTTACTAAGATATTTTTATGGCCAGGGTGAGCATTTGCTAACAACTACTTGAAATGTTCTCTAACCTAGAATTACTAAGGTCATGCTCCCAGTCTTCTCAGATCATGCCTAAGAGCCTTATAAGGTGTGGGGTTTATTTTTTAACAGGTGATACACAATTTAAAAGATACAAAAACTGTATATAGTAAAAAATCAGTCTCCTTCCACCCACCACCCTGCCTCCCCATTCCACTCATTTCAGGCACCCACTGTTACTGATTTCTAATGTAACCCTCCACAGATAGCCTATGCACATGAGAATGTATGTATAGTCCTTGTTTGAAAATGTAAGTGGGGCCAGGCGCAGTGGCTCATGCCTGTAATCCCAGCACTTTGGAAGGCTGAGGCAGGTGGATTACCTGAGGTCAGGAGTTCAAGACCAGCCTGACCAACATGGTGAAACCTTGTCTCTACTAAAAATGCAAAAATTAGCTGGTAGTGGTGGTGGGTGCCTGTAATCCCAGTTACTCGGGAGACTGAAGCAGGAGAATCGCTTAAACCAGGGAGGCGGAGGTTGCAATGAGCGGAGACTGTGCCATTGCACTCCAGCCTGGGCAATAAGAGCGAAACTCCATCTCAAAAAAAAAAAAAAAAGAAAATGTAAATAGTAGTATATTATATACATTGTTCTACTCCTTTTCTTTTTCCCCTTGACAATACATCGCAACACTCCATTACATCAGTACGTACAGAGCTGCTGCTTGTTTTTAACAGCTCTTTAGTGTTTCATCAACTGTACTGCAGTTTAATTATAAGTGCCACCTATTGATGGACATTTAGGTTATTGCCATTCTTTTTGCTGTTACAAATAATACCACAAGAATAACTTCATTTTAATTGCTATTTTTTAAATTTGTGGTCATATTTACCTTCAAAGTTCATATAATGTTAAAGAAGAGTGAGATTTTTGTGTTTAACTAAGAAGAGCATAGATTTTGAAAGGTCAAGGACACTGCTGAAAACATCCTGGGAAGAAACCACACCATCACAGTTGGCCTTGGTGGGATTATTCCTGCTGACTTGGGCTTTGGCCTTTGGCCATCAGCTTGCATTGGGGGGCATTTTAAGAAACTGTGGTGTGGAGAAGCAGCATTGTATTGCTGTAAGGATGTTACTGAGGGCTACAGTCTGTACCCTATTAATAGGGAGTCCTTTCTGTGAGTGTGTGGGGGAGGAGTGTCTGCTACATTTCTGTTTTATGGATGGCATGAATTCTTAACTGATTCTTTCAGCAGCTTAAAGAGTACAACTAATTTTGTGGCACAAGTTTAGCAAGAAAGTGCACAGGACTTGGGTATGAATCTTCTTGTTTCCATCTGATGAATTTTTACCACACATATCCCCTTTGTTCCAATTCCCTCACTTAATTTTTAAAAATATCATTGGAGGTATTTTTGTGAAATTGTCTTTTGTTAGTTGGAGCAAGATAAAGTATAAAAGGAGAGATGAATAAAAAAATTAATTTCCTTATTTATGGCACGGTATCTGGCTTATAGGTGCCCGATGTATGTTGAATAACTGAGTTTTGCTAATTGTTTAACAGGATATGAGGAACTTGCGGCTTGCTTATAAACAGGAAGAACAGAGTAAACTAGGGATATTTGAAAACCTCAACAAACATGCATTTCCTCTTTCTAATGGACAGGTAAATACACCAAACTAAACCTTTTCTACATGCATTTGTGGGGGTCCAAATATCCTATGTTTAATTATTCCTTTTTCCAGAGGTTTTTCTTTCCCCCCCTCTTTTTTCCTCCGTTGGTGACTAATACTAGAATATTTGAAATTTGTCAGCTCTGGGTAATGCTCAAGAAAAGCTGCTACTTCATTGCTTTAAAATTTACAGACTAAAATAGGAATCTTAATACACTCAGCTCATATTAGAATGAAAAGCTTTAATGTTGGGTATATGATATAAAAATAAATAATGACATATGTGTTTTGTGGTTTTTGTATCCAGGCACTATTTGCATTCAGCTATAAAGAAAAATTTCCAATTAATGGCTGGAAAGTTTATGATCCAGTATCTGAATATAAGAGACAGGTAAAGTATATTGCTTATCAAACTGAAAATAATAGGTTGAGCATCTTTTTCGCTTCTAAAAAGTTAGAAATGATGTGGTGGAGAAGAAACTTTTTTTTTTTTTTTGAGATGGAGTCTCGCTCTGTCGCCCAGGCTGGAGTGCAGTGGCGCGATCTCGGCTCACTGCAAGCTCCGCCTCCCATGGTTCACACCATTATTCTGCCTCAGCCTCCCAAGTAGCTGGGACTACAGGCGCCCACCACCATGCCTGGCTAACTTTTTGTGTTTTTAGTAGAGACGGAGTTTCACCGTGTTAGCCAGGATGGTCTCGATCTCCTGACCTCGTGACCCACCCGCCTTGGCTTCCCAAAGTGCTGGGATTACAGGCGTGAGCCACTGTGCCCGGCCAGAGAAGAAACTTTTTCAAACAAGTTATGCACAGGTGTAACTGCTAGCTTATAGTTCTCCATCTCTCTTGATGCTCTCTTCTCCCTGTGCCAAACCTTAGACTTTGTAATTGTTTGTTCATCCTGTTTCCAGAGGGTGAGTGGGACTCAAGGACAAGGACGGGTTTAAAAACCAAATTTGCCAGATGGTTTCTATTGGATGTTCTGGTAAAGAATTGATGAGTAAGGATCCAAACCACCGACTACAGTTAGATTCGAAGCATGTGGTGTGGCTACATAATTCTGATCCGGTGTTCCTGGGTCTGGGAACTCTTCAGTGCATTGTCAGCTTCAAATTATTTCACTAAGATCTTATTTTCATTATGTTTGTTTCATGATGTTGTCTCTACCTTATATTTGGTATAACGTTTTACGTTACTTATTTTAGACATTTGTAAGAAGTATCTGTGTTTCTAAAGGACTTTTGAGTATATTTTCAGAAATAACACTGAGCTTATTTATAGAAAATAGGACAAGAAATATATAGAAATGTGATTCTAGTGTATAATTTTCATGTTTTAGTATGGTTTGGATATTCTTTTGCTTCTTTAGATTTTTAGAAATGTCTAGGAAATTGGTTTTACCAAATAAATATATATATTGACTTTTAAGTTACAATAAACAACAAATTATAAATGGATTTTAGTTGCAAATAAGAAATGGATATGCTTCATGATTAGTACTTTTTCAAAGCGTAAAGTCATGCATTTGCCCCTCTTCTTCTTTCTCCAACACCTTACAGGGTTTGCCAAATGAGAGTTGGAAAATATCCAAAATAAACAGTAATTATGAGTTCTGTGACACCTACCCTGCCATCATTGTTGTGCCAACTAGTGTAAAAGACGATGACCTTTCGAAAGTGGCAGCTTTTCGAGCAAAAGGCAGAGTCCCTGTAAGTAATAAACATTGTCATTTATACAGGAATATGTATTGCGTTAGGTCTAAGATGGAAAGATTTAAGACAAGAATTCAGTGAACAAAAATGGAAAGCAGAAAAATAAACTTATAAACCTGGATATACCTTTGATTCTCAACAGATACCTAATTATATAAGCGATCTGTTTGCTATGACTCCCTCTTGTACGATTTCCTGTAACTAAGTTTAAGGGTAACTTTAGTCATACCCTCTAAAAGTAGTAGAGAATAACAAAGGAGTAGCAAGAACAAGTTAGCATGCTGTTGTATTACCAGTTGGCATTGCTGGTTTCACTGCATCATCCTAGAGAAAATGCTTCTTTCTTAGATACTGAGCATGATGCCATAGCTGCGTGGGGGAAACATCATTACAGAAGTAGTAGCAGACAGCAGGGAGTAATGGTTTGAGCCCAGAGTTTGCATCTGGTGTAATCCTGAGTCACTTGGCCACTGGAGGAAAATGAGAGGTGGGGTGGCAGAGTGGCAGATTTTATAAGAGACTGTATATTCACTTTGTTCTTATCCTGCCACGTATGTTATTGTTGAGATACAAAGTTGTTTTTAAAATTAGGAGACAAGATAAAATTAGTCAATCAAATTGGAATGGGGCTAGATTTTAGTAATAGTTTGATTTGGGTTTTTCTTAGAATCATAGAATTTTTGGGGTGGGAGGGGATTTTTAGATCTCATGTAGTCAGAATTGTTTCATCCTGACCAAAACACTGAGTCTGATGGCCACTACAACTCTGTGATTGGCCTGCCCACTCTCACTTTTGAAGAAAATATGTATAAGAGACCATGCTTGAGAAGGGAACTTGTTTTTCCTACCAGGTAATTAGAGCATACATTGCTTTAGGAACTGTACTAATACTTGTTGCTTAAAAACACTAGGTGTTGTCATGGATTCATCCGGAAAGTCAAGCAACAATTACCCGTTGCAGCCAGCCACTTGTGGGTCCCAATGATAAGCGCTGCAAAGAGGATGAAAAATATTTGCAAACAATAATGGATGCTAACGCACAGTCACACAAGCTTATCATTTTTGATGCTCGACAAAACAGTGTCGCTGATACCAACAAGGTATATTCTTAATAGCATTGCAGAAACGTTGGATATTTTCATGTCCTGTCTGTAAATCATTATGCAGTTGGAATAACTCGTTGATTTTTCACCACCTGAAGTTAGAATCATTTGGAGTCCATAGCTATTCCTCCCTGGTGTATGCTCCTTGGGCTATGTTTGGTGTCTCACATGGATTGGGATCTTGTCTGTTTCATTGCTTCTCTACAATATCCTGTCTGCTAAATCAATTAAGCAAAGACCTAGAAAGACAATGATCATCTAAAGGATTTAGCATTTTAATGATATGATCGTGAGGACTTGAAAGTCCGTTTAAGAAATATAGTGGTTACTTGATTAATTCATGTCTGGTCTGAATTTCTTTTAGAATGGTATCAGCAATGTGAAAATGTGTAAATGTACAAAGTTTCCATAAATCTCATGGAGCACCTGTGTAGTGTACTTTGGGTGGCAGTGAGATGTGGTTAAAAACACCTCCGTTCCCATGACTTTCATGATATCACACCCTGAGTTTCTCTCGCTTTTCATTCAGCCTGGCCTTCTCCATCTCCTTAACTGATTTCTCTTCCCAGTCTTCAAATGGCGTTGCTCCTCGAACTCGGTCTGGGATCCTCTCTGCTCCACACAGACTCCTGGGGCCATCTCTGAAGGCACAGCTTTAAACACTATCTGTATGCTGAGTTCAACTTGAGCTTGACACTGCAGTTTCTATCCTGTCCTGATCCCTCTTAAGGTTGAGGCTGGATTTCTGTCCCATTGTATGGTTGACATCTCTGCTTGGCTGTTTCCTAGGCCACAAACCCTCCGTGTATTCCAACTGGCCTGAGAGGCAGGATGGCAAGTTGGTGAGACATCTCGGCTTTGGAATCACTTACCTCTGGGTTTTCCTCCAGGTTCTGCCACTTGGTGCTCTAGATTCCGGAGCTGGTTACTTAACCTCTCTCTGTGCCTCAGGTTCCTCTTCTGTAAACAGGAGATAATGTCAGTGTCTCATGTCACGGTTGTGTGAGGATTAAAATTCAGTGAGAAGAATGCATGTAAATGACTTAGCACAGCGGCGGGTACATCCTCAGGGCACAGTACATGATGCTGATAAGCTCGCCACCCCTGTGGTCAAGGAGGCTGCCCAGGTGTCTGACTTGAGAGTGGTGTCTGTTACTGAGATGGGGAAGACTGGGAGAGGAACAGGGCAGGGAGGAAGATGGGGGAGTATTAGTTTTCTGAGGCTGTCATACAAATTACTACCAACTTGGTGGCTTATAGCACCAGAAATGTATTGACCACAATTCTGGAGGCCAATTCTGCTCCCTCTAAAGGTTCCAGGGGAGAATCTATTCCTTGCCTCTTCTAGCATGGGGTGACTGCCCCAGCCTTCCTGGGCTTACAGCCACATCACTCCAATCTCTTCTTCCGTCATCACATGACCCTCTCTTGCTCTGTGTTTCTGTGTCTCCTCCTTTCTCTTCGAATGACACTTGTGATGACATTTAGGGTCCACCTGAAATAATCCTGGATCCTTAAACACATCTACAAAGACCCTCTTTTCAATTAATCTTGGAAGCCTTAAGCACATCTGCAAATCTCAGGATCCTTAAACATCTGCAAAGACCTTCTCTTCAAATAAGGTCACATTCACCATTGCCAGTAGATGTCTTTGGCGGGGCCACTTTTCAGCCTACCCTAGGGAGGCATCCCTCAGTGAGGTCCCCTTGCTCCCCACATCTGGATCATTACCTGTGTCCGTCTTCTACATCTCTGCCTCCTTCCTGTCACCACCATATCCCAAGGAATTACAAAATGTGAGAAAAGCTGTATTGGTGGAGGCCATCTTCAGACTAGTCAACAGGGTGAGGGCAGTTCATTGTGTTTTGTCCCATGCAGGAGAGATAGAGACAGGACACTAAATTATATATCTAGAATAATTTTAACTATGGCAGTATATGTGTCTAGGAAACAGACAGAGTATTTTCTAGGTCTCCATTAGTTCTTTATAAGATTATGTCATATGCAAATCACGATAATGTGACTTCTTCCTTTCCAGTCTGGCTGCCTTTCATATCTTCTTCTTGCATTGGTATTACATTGGTTGATTTTTGTATGTTGAACCACTGTAGTGGATTGAAAAATGTCTCCCAAAAGTTTGTCCAACTGGAACCTCAGAATGTGACCTTATTTAGAAATAGGATCTTTGCAGATGTATTAATTATGATGAGGTCATCTTGGAGTAGTGTAGGCCCTAAATCCAGTGCCTAGTGTCCGTATAAGAAAGCCACATAGAGACACAGGCACACACAGAAGGAAGATGGTTATGTGGCAATAGAGGCAGATATTTAAATGATGCAGCTAGACGCTGAGGAGTGCCAAGGACTTCCAGCAACCACCGGAAGCTAAGAGAGAGACATGGAACGGATTCTTTCCTATACCTTCCTAAAGGAACCAACTCTGCCAGCACCCTGATCTCGGACTTTCAGCCTCCAGAACTGTGAGAGAATAAATTTTATGTTGTTTTAAGTCCACCAGTTTGTGATAGCACCCCTAGGAAGCTAACAAAACCTCCTTACATTCCTGGGATAAATCCCACCTGTTCATGGTATGTAATCAGTCCCCTTCATAAACTCTTGGATTGGGTTTGCTAATATTTTGTTGAGGATATTTGCATGTATTGTCATAAGGGATGTTAATCTGTGGTTTTCTCTTCTTATGATATATTTGTCTAGTTTGATATCAGGATACTGCTAGCCTCATGGAATGAATTAGGAAGTATGCTCCCCTCTTCTAGTTCTTGGACGACCCATCATCTCTTACCTCACCTACAGCAGGAGCCTTGAAATTGGATGTCTGCCTCACACCCTGCAATCTCATCTCCTCATTATGACCAGAGTGATCTTTAAAAAAAAAAAAATTGTTACTATTTCAATTGATAAATGAATTGTATATATTTATGGTGTACAACGTGGTATTTTGATATATGTACACATTGTGGAATGGCTAAATCAAGCTAATTAACACACCATTTTTTGTGGTGAGAATACTTAAAATCTACTCTCTCAGCAATTTTCAAATACACACTACATTGTTATTGACTGTAGTCACCATGTTGTACAGAGTGATTTTCTCAGTGGACAGCTCTGTGCCAAGAACACCCAGGGCTATTGGAACCCGGGAGAGCCAAGGAAGGATCCTCCCCTAGAGTGTTCGGAGGAAGCATGGCACTGCCGATACCTTGAATTCAGACTTCCAGCCTCTAGAACTAGGAGAGAATAAACTTCTGTTGTTTTAAGCCACTGAGTTTGTGGTTCTTTTTCCAGCAGCCCTAGGAAACTCATATAAGGATATAGGAGGTTTATTTACAAATGAGTTTGTTGCTTCTTTAGTGGTCTGTATCTCATAGCACTAGAAAGAATAGAAAAGTTAATTCCAGATAATGTGATGTATCTCTTTTGTTTTTCATAGACAAAGGGTGGAGGATATGAAAGTGAAAGTGCTTACCCAAACGCAGAACTTGTGTTCTTGGAGATCCACAACATTCATGTCATGCGAGAGTCACTACGCAAATTAAAAGAGATTGTGTACCCTTCAATCGATGAGGCACGGTGGCTCTCCAATGTGGATGGGACGCATTGGCTGGAATATATAAGGGTAAAGAGATCCAGTACTTTATATGCTTTCCAGTTAAGACTTCTTTGTGCCTGTGCCATAAATACGTATATCTCCAAGTTGTTTTTCAACATTGCAAATAAGTGCCTCTTGGCTGTGTGCATGAACTTTCTTATTAAGTAGTTTCCATGGGCAGCATCAGACTGGGATCTTTGTGAAGGACTTTTGTGACATAGTGAAAAGGGGAAAATGCTTGCCTTAGGTCAGGCTTTTAAATAACTTTGTGGCCCTTTAATAAGGAACCATATTTACTCCTGTAGTTTTTCTCTGGTATAAGATTTTTTCTTTCTTCTTTTTTTTTTTTAATGTGATGCTAACGTTTCCCAGTGATCCCAGCTGATTGCATGCCATTCTGGTTTGGATTATTGGCCAGAACTTCCAAAGCTCTCCCCAGAATTATTTTACATTGTTTTACATTTAATTGAAATTCAATGTAGCCTGATCTAATGTGCCTTTTTTTCTGAAGATGCTGCTTGCTGGGGCAGTAAGAATTGCTGATAAAATAGAATCTGGGAAAACATCTGTGGTGGTGCATTGCAGCGATGGTTGGGACCGAACAGCCCAGCTCACATCTCTGGCTATGCTAATGTTGGACAGTTACTACAGGACCATTAAAGGATTTGAAACTCTCGTAGAAAAGGAGTGGATAAGCTTTGGACACAGGTTTGCACTGGTAAGTTGAGACAGTGAGGTTTATGCTAAGACTATTTTGCTGTATCATGGATGTAAACATCATGTGTGACACAAATAAGCACATACACACACACACACACACGTGTGCAGGCTTTCTCTTCTGTATCATATCAGACCTGAATTGCCATAATAAAATACATGGACCTCAAGCATTGTATGTTCCTGGTAAGGCATTTTTATCTTAGTGTAGTTATGCCTTTTTTTAAAATTGAGATAAAATTTATATAATGTAGAATTAACCATTTAAAATGCTCAATTCGGTGTCCTTTAGTAGATTCACAATGTTATGTAACCATCACCTCTAGTTTCAAAACATACTCTGGCCAGGCACAGTGGCTCACGCCTGTAATCCCAGCTCTTTGGGAGGCCCAGGCAGGCAGATCGCCTGAGGTTGGGAGTTCGAGACCAGCCTAGCCAACATGGTGAAACCCCGTCTCTACTAAAAATACAAAAATTAGCCAGACATGTTGGCGGGTGCCTGTAGTCCCAGCTACTCAGGAGGCTGAGGCAGGATAATTGCTTGAACCTGGGAGGCAGAGGTTGCAGTGAGCCGAGATCATGCCACTGCACTTCAGCCCGGGCAATAGAGCAAAACTCTGTCTCAAAAAAACAAAACAAAACAAAACAAAACAAAACAAAAAACAAAAACAAAAAACCATACTCTTCACCTCAAAGGAAATGCTGTATACATTAAACAGTCATTCTTCACTTACCCCAGCCCCTGACAACCACTAATATTTCTGTCTTCATATACATTCACCTTTTCTAGGTACTTTATATAAGTGGAATCATACAGTGTCCTCCCATGACTGAGTTATTTCACTAAGCATAATATTTTCAAGGTTCAGCCATGTTGTGACAAAGAGCAAATTTTCATTATTTTTTATAGCTGAATAGTATTCCCTTGTGTGTATAGACCACATTTCGTTTATCTGTTCATCTGTTGATGGATGCTTGGGTTGTTTCCACCTTTGCTATTGTGAAGAATACTGCTGTGAATGTTAGTATATAAGTTTTCTGCCATAACAAGCTACCACAGACTGCATGGTTGAAACAACAGGAATTAATTTTCTCATAATTCTGGAGACTGGAAGTCCAAAATCAAGGTCCCAGCAGGATTGATTTCTCTTGAGTTCTCCCTTCTTTCCTTGCATACGGCCACCCTCTGGCTACCTCTTCACAAGGTCTTTCTTCCCTTTGGGAGCTACTGGACACTCCTGCTGTGTCTCTGTGTGGCCAAATGTCCTCATTTCATAAGGATACCAGTGAGATTGGGGTAGGACCCACTTTAATGCCCTCATTTGAACTTAATCACCTCTTTAAAGGCCCTGTCTCCAAATATGGACACATTCCTGAGCTACTGAATGTTCAGGCCTCAATTTTGGGGATCACAATTCGGCCTATAACAACTTGCTTTCAACCTAGGGGGTTATATACCTAGGAGTGAAATTGTGAGGTCATCCAATAGGGCATTCTTGGGCTGCCATTTGTGTTTTAGTCCAACTGGCAGCTACTTCTGGTCTGTCCAGGCTATTGAGCTGTTAGGGATCTGTCTGAACTGTGCATTGAATGGGAATACTCCTGAAGTCCCCATTAGACTTGCTATGGAAAGCAGGAGGATGGGTAGTGCAAGGATTTCCTTGGCTTTGGTGTGAGTGTGCCAAGCTTCAAGCTGTCCCTGCACTCCTGGGGTGGAGCCCCTGCAAGAGGACCTCCCAGAGAGAAGGGGCAAGTCCGCAGTCTCTGAGCTGCATGCCCTTTGGGAGCTACTGGCAGATCCCTGGACATTTTCCTTCCCCTCTTTTGCCTTCATTCCCTCCTCTCTGAAATCGGGCGTTTTGTGGGAGAAATGAGTTTATACGTGTCAAACGTTTAGGGCAGTGCTTGGCCCATGCTAAGTGCCAGGGAAGTTTTAAACAACATCACCAACTCCTTTGTTTCTTCCCCCCTCAGCAAAAGCTGGTCTTGGTAAGGAAGAGAGAGTGTGTGGAATCTTTCCTGATGTTTGTATTGGGCCATCTCAGAAGACTCAGAGGCCACTGCCTTCTACCTTCCTCCCCAAACTGTGTGTCCTAGGGGAGAGAAAGCTTGAACGGGTGCTTTGCCAGAGGGGTAGTGGTGAAGGCTACCTAGTGAGATGCCAGCGATGGCAGCATGCACTGGGACTGAGTAGAGGTGCACGCATCAGGGTGTGCCTACAGTCCTCTGCTCCCATGCCTACTTGCTAATGCTGGGGCTCACTGCACCATGGTCACAGTGAAGGCAATAGGACTATCAGATTCCTAATGGCCTCAATTTACTAAGCCACCACTATGTGTTTGGCACTGTTAATGTGCAGCATCTTGTTTAATCCTGATAGTAATGTCATTGACAGATGGGAAAACTGAGGTTTCAAGAATGTGGGTTATCTGCCTAAAGTCACACAGCTAGTTAGGGTAGAGCCAGCCTTTAAACAGTGATTTCAAGCCTGTAACCACCCACCCTCTGGATCTGTGTACCCTACCTGGAGTTCTGTGAATAAGCCATCAGGGCTTCCAGCTAAGGCTGATCCTGCCCTTGCCCACTTGCCTCCATCATGGAACTTTCTAATTGTTCTTCCCTCTATCCTGCCTCCATTCCCCCCCTTCCCTAGATCATTCCCATTGGTGTAGAGACATTCTGTTATATCCTAAAAAAAAACCCTCTTGACCCCACAGCCCTCCTCAGGTGTCACCCTGATTTTCTGCTCTTCTTTACAACAATCTCCTCAAAACTGTTGTCTGTACTCACTATCACTATTTCTCTCCTTCCAGACTGTCTTGAAAGCACTTCAGCCAGGATTCCTTCTCACAATGCCCCCCCCCCCCACCTGGTCTTATCACAGTCATCACTTGTTTTATTTGGCCTGGGCATTCGATGCTGTTGATTCTTCCTTTCTTCCAAACACTTTCTTCATTAGACTTCTAGGTTTCTATGACCTTTTGAATTTCCCCCAACTTTCAGGTCTTCCCTCATCTTCCCAACCTCTTAATGTTGGGGTGTCCCAGGGATGAGTCCTTGGATCATTTTTCTTCTCTTTGTGGTTAACCTGTTAGTGATCTCAGCCAGTCCCACAACTTTGAATACATGGATAGCATATCTGTGATCTCATCTCCATTGCCCCTGATGCTCCCGTAACTTAGGCCTTATCAACCCCCTTAGGCAGTCTCCTAAGTGGCTGACCTAGTCTGTTGTGTTTTTACAAAGGAATACTTGAGGCTGGGTAATTTAGAGAGAAAAGAAATTTATTTGGCTCACGGTTCTGCAGGCTGTACAAGAAGCATGGTGCTGGCATCTGCTTCTGGTGAGGGCCTCAGGCTGCTTCACTCATGGTGGAAAAGGTAAAGGAGAGCCAGTGTGTAGAGATCACATGGTGAGAAAGGAAACAAGAGAGAGGGGAGAGGGTGCCAGTCTCTTTGTAACAACCACCTCTCTCGGGAACTAATAGAGAACTCACTCACACACTCCCCCACCCAAGGAGGGATTAATTTATTTATGAGGGATCCACCCCCATGACCCAACATCTCCCATTAGGCTCCACCTCCAACATTGGGGATCAAATTTCAACATGAGGTTTAAGAGGACAAACATCCCAACAATAGCAGTAGCCTTTCTGCAACCTAGCTCTGTCTGATCCGTCGCCCCCACTGGAGCCAGGTGGAGCATTCCAAACAACAGATCAGATGCTGCCACTCCCCAGTGTGAGTCCCTCAGCAGCTTCCTGTAGCACACAGGATTATGAGCAAACTCCTAGTGTGTACTCAAAGCCCTTGGTGATCTGGCCCTAGCTATATCTCCAGCCTCATCTCTCATCTTTCCCTTGCCCCATGTAAGCCTCAGCTACTTGTGGCTTTCTTAGTGTCCCCCACCACATTCCCACTGGTTATCAATTCCTGGCTACCCAGGAAGCAGGCATCTCCCTGTCCTTCAAGGTTTATCTCAAATGAAATGTCCTTCATGACTATGACTCGCATGACTGTCCCTCCCTGTTCCTTCCCCTACCCCATCCTAGGATGGTTCACTCATTCCCTTGTGCTCCCACCATACCCACTACATACTTGGAAGCCCTTGGAACACTTTATTGCCCTTGTCATTTATACATCTTTGTCCCTTGACTAGACCACAAATGAATTATTCATCAAGCACAAGTACAGTGTCTCATTTGCTTTAGTCTCCTAGGTGCCTAGCCAAGGACCTGGCCTCTACCAGACACCATGACAATGTTTGACATTCCGAGGGCCAGGCATGATGCCAGGCATGATGCCTTGCATATGCCATAGGAGTTCCATGGCTATCTGTTGAAAGAATGAATCCTAAATTGTGAACTGTCAGTGTAAAACAGTTCCCTAGGTGCCTTAAATACTGAACAGCAGGTCCTACAAGGATTTTATAGCGGGGCAATGCATGGAGCTACTATGGAGAACAGTATGGTGAATCCTCAAAAAATTAAACGTGGAACTACCACATGATCTGACAATTCCGCTGATGGGTATATACCCCAAAGAAGGGAAAGCAGGAGCCCAAACAGATACGTGTACATTGGTGTCCATGGTAGCTTTATTCACAATAGCCTGAAGGTGGAAGCAACCCCAGTGTCCATCAGGAGATGAATGGATAAACAAAATGTGCTCTAGCTATACAGCCATGTGGTGTGTGACGATGAGGATACATTCTGAGAAATGCATCATTAGGTGATTTTGTAATTGTGTGGACATGATAGAGTATACCTTACAGAAACCTAGATGGAAAACTTGCTAACATCTAGGCTATATGGTACATACAGCCTATTACTCCTAGGCTGCAACCCTGTATGGCATGTGACTATACTGAATACCGTAGGCAACTGTAATACCGTGGTAAGTATTTCTGTATCTAAACATAGAAAAGGTACAGTAAAAATATAGTATTGTAACCTTATGGGACAACCATTGGATATATAGTCGTCATTGACTGAAACGTCGTTATGTGGCACATGATTATACAGTGCAATGTTAGTCTTAAAAAAGGAAATTCTGACATGTGCTGTAACATGGATGAACCTTGAAAACATGCTCAGCAAAATAAGCCAGCCACAAAGGACAAATATTTATTTTTCCACTTATATGAAGAACCTAGAATAATCAAATTCATAGAGACAGAAAGTAGAATGGTCATTGCCAGGGGCTAGGAGGTGGGGAATGGGGAGTTAGTGATTAATGAGTATAGAGTTTCTATTTGGAAAGATTAACAAGTTCTAGAAATGGTGATGGTTGTATAATAACATGAGTGTGCTTGATGCCACTGAACTGGACACTTAAAAATGGTTAAGATGAGATTGGATGCAGTGGCTCATGCTCGTAATTCCCAGCACTTTGGGAGGCTGAGGTGGGAGGATCTCTTGAGGTCAGGAGTTAAAGACCAGCCTGGGCAGTATAGTGAGACCCCATCTCTACAAAATAATTAGCTGGGCATGGTGGCTCACACCTATAGTCCCAGCCACTCTGGAGGCTGAGGTGGGAGAATCACTCGAGCCCAGGAGTTAGAGGCTGCAGCAGGCTATGCTCGTGTCACTGCACTCCAGCCTGGGTGACAGAGGGAGCCCCTGTCTCTAAAACATAAAAATAATGGTTCAAATGATAAATTATATGTCATGTGTATTTCGCCACAATTAAATTTTTTTTATAAAGAAGGCAATACACTATTACTCTGAGATGTTAATATTGATTTGGTCATTTCTTTGTTTTGTGTCTTTCCAGGTGGCAATTTCATAGAGTATTTTTGCTCTTTCTATGTGATTGCTTTGTATTTTCTTAATGAGTTTTTTTCCCCACATCCTTTTGCTCATAGTCATATTATTTGAAGCTTCTCTTAGAATCCTCACCCTTCAGCTATCTTTTTACTTGTGGCATTTTCAGTGTTTTGGCAATTGTATTTATGTATTTGAGAATACTATCTTTTACCTTTTGGTATTAATCTATTGATAACTTATAAAGTATCAAAAGATATGAAATACAATACTGGACTGCCTTAAGCAAGGACCCTACCTTTACCATTTCAAGATTGAGTTCTTGGGGTTCTCTGAGTCATGAAGAATTGGTTAAAAGTTGTAGATTGTTAATCATTAATTATTTTGATTCTCAGACTTCCTGACATTTCTGAAAAATGGAAAAAATGTTTTTATACTTGTAGAGAAAATGGCATTCATAATGTACTTTATGAACTGCTAATTGGCATCCTACGTTGACACTGTACACTTAGTGTGGTGGCTGGTCTTGACCCTACCATTTTAACTGAAGTTTGCTAGCTAGTTGCTTATACTTTCTTGATATGAACTATATTAAAGAGAAATTATAAAACAATCAACATGTAAAAATGCTGTAAACTGAAATTTTGTTTTCTAAAAGTAATGGAAGTCATTTCGATTTGATAGACATTTTTGAGTGCCTGTTACGTGCCGGGAATTCTATTAGGCCCGATGAAACATGATTCTTACCACTGGACAACTTACAGTGACTTTCAAGAGGACCATAACATAGGTTAAAACGTTTAACCTTCTGTTTCTTTTCAGCGAGTGGGCCATGGTAATGACAACCATGCTGATGCTGACCGATCTCCTATATTTCTGCAGTTTATTGATTGTGTTTGGCAAATGACAAGACAGGTGAGAGATTTCAAATATATTTCTATATAGTCTTTGCTTTAAATATATCTTAAAGATTAAACTATTATTACTGTTTCATTCAAAATGAATTTGTGTAAAATATGACCCCATTATTTAACACAATTTGATTCTAATTCACTTAGAAATATAAGCAGAACATTAGAAACAACCAATTTCACACCAAAAGTTACTTCTCTTTGCAAATGGTTTTTATCAGTCATCTGGTCCACTGGGTCCAAACCAAGGCCCTACTCCTCTATAGATTCTGCTGCTTTTGCT